CCCTAGGATGACCAAGGATCCAGGGTGCCATATTGGCAGAAGCTGATGCAAGACAAATGTATAGCCTGATAGGTCATAGCCCATGGAACTACCAATTTCTCTTTTACTCCCATTCTTAGTTTTATGAATATTGAAAAAAACACAAAACCAGACAGTAGATTTTCTGTTTCTTCCTTTCTTGCTCACTTGACCTTTTTGCTTTGGTGGGAGGTGTCATGAAGGTAGCAAAAAAGGCAGAAAAGAATAATCCATATTTTTTAGATTTGCAAGAACGCACAGAATAATTATCTGCTATTTCTTCCCTCTCCCCACCCTTTCCCCCGGTGAAACCCCAAAGCACAATGGACAGGAAAGCCAACATTGTAAAGGTTCAAAGGTGGAATTACGTCTTTTGGTGTCCTGGTGTATTTTGCATTATAATGCAGCCTTGATAATAACATTTCTCAGGAAAGCCTGCACAGCTGTCTCAGCATCTAGAGGCAAGGAGGGAGTGTAACTGGCAGTGTATGGGGAAAATATTGCTTGGAATGTACTTCTGGGTGCAAATTACTTTGATACTGTTCTCTGAAGTATCAACATTGGTTCTTCATCTTTGACAAAGGAAAATGTGCATTCTCAAGCTGTAAGAAGCTGAACCACATTTGGGGTGACAAATGTATTCCTTTGGGAAGAAAGTATTGTGTAGTGGAAAGAACAAAGGCCTTGCCGGCAGATCTGGGTTTGAGTCCTGTATTGGCCACTTATTAGCCTTTTGACCTTTGACAAATGGATTTTTCTAAGCTTTTGTTGTTTCATCCACACAATGGGTTGTTACAAATGATAACAAGATAACATACATTGTGTTGAGTTGGAACTCTGTATAGAGTAGTGATTGCTAATAAACCAGCTGGCAGGCAGAAAGGAAAGGAGGAGCTGGACTCTGTGTTATCTGGAGAGAGGCAGGGGTTGAGGAACCCAGATTTGGGTAATAAAATATATGTCTATAATAAAATCCCAGGAAGAACAGAATTATTCACATTTTCCTCTGTTTTCTAGTTCAGTGACTCTATAGCCTTCATTTTCAGACACAGCAAGGAAAGGCCTATGGCATAGATGCCACAATTAGGAGACAGATGGATTAGCCTAGATGTTGGTGATTTGGGCTCATGACCTGGCAGTAAGCTCCCTTCTCTATTTCTCCGTTTTCTAAATTTTACTCACCAAGTGTTTCAAGTGAAGGACGTTTTGCTAGTATATAACACCAAAGGTTTACGGCATCTCGAACCCTAAATGACTGTTTTCCCCACCTTTCCCTCATTCTCGTCTCTTCTCCTTTCTCTTGTAGAAATCATTATCGCCAGAGCACAGCCATCACAGGGGCAGAGTCTGGGAAGTGCTATTACACCCTCACCTTTGCCGTCACCTTCCCGCATGCCGAGGATGTCTGCTACTTGGCCTACCACTATCCCTACACCTACACCGCCCTCATGGTAACTTCTTCTCTACAGCCTTATGGCGGCCCAACTGAAGGGGCTCTCTGAGGTTTTCCTGGAAGCATTCAGGAGACCCTGTCATCCTGGTGGGGACTTCAGCCTTCCAAGGGAGCCAGAGTTTGTTGTCACTAACTTGGTGGCTTTCTATTTGTCCCTTTTCCTTCCTTGGACAGAGTTCGAGGCTGAGGTCATGACCAGTGACATTCTGGAGGCCCCAGTGGCGTATAGTGCTCTTCGTCTGCAGGTTGAGTGTGGGAGGTGGAGGGCAGGGGGACATTTCTTAGGGGCTCTATCTTTAAAAAGCCGTCAAATTAAGCAAGGAGAAATGAGATTGGAATGAGATCATTCCGTTGAAATAGGGTAAAACCATGCAGGTCAGCTGAGGTGCAGATTTAAAGGACATAGACACATTGAGAGGAGTGAAGCAGAGGCTGAGGAGGTGAAGCTTGGAAAAACTCCGTGAGTTCACCTGACAGCTGCTTCCCCATTTCCAGTGGTTCCCACGGCCATGGGCTGGAGGCTGTTAGAAGGATCCAGGGCAGACAAGAAGGGTGGAACAATAAAGCATTGAATCACTGCGAATGAGGGTCACAATCTTTTTATGAGAGGAGGGTAGTGTCAACCTGTCCAAACTCGAAGTCAGCATTCCGATGTCCTATCAGGCCCTGCACAGGGCTCATTTGACCAATCTGAGCAAACGGCTTAAACCATGCAGTTTCCTGTCATTTGAAAAAGTTGGCAAACCATCCCTTCCCCCTAGCTATTTCATGGATATTCTGAGGATTAATGAGCTAAAGTATCTCTTATAAAATACTTTCACCCTCTGCATTAATGCAAAATGTTATTAGCATATTTATAATAATATGTGTATAAGCAAATGGATATATCACTTAGCCTGAAGGATGAGTATTTTCATTGCAAGTCTGTGATAAGGAGTTGGAAAAGATGATAACCAAGAACATCTTTCCCCTCAGAAGGAATGTTCAAGTATAAATACAATTTTTTCTCCATTGAGAAGGCATACCTTAAACCACTTGGCTAACTGCTTCATAAAAGTACATCTGCCCTTCTCTCCATATGTTGGTTTGCCTAAAGAGAGATTCTTTTTTTTTTTTTTTTTTTTTTTTTTTTTTTCCCA